AAAGGGTGTGTGTGTGGGGGGGAGGGCGGGTAATGCTATCAAGATTTTTCTCCAACTGTCTGATTGAGGCTCCAAGACAGAGAAGCAGGTGTTCTCTCTCACTACCCACTTACCCGGGAAAGCCTCCTGGCCGTTTTTAGCAACCCCCCAAATCCAGACGGGGCAGAAGAGTCTGGAGATTAGCCAAAGATGGGAGGAGGCAGGGAGCCAAGCAGAGAGGCTTCCCGGTCTCCTCTCCTCTTCTCAGAGCAGCTCATCACGCCCCCAGGGAACTACGCGACACCTTGGTACCCTGGGAATCCCGCCTGTTTCGAAAAAAGAGGCCGAACCGGAGTAGCCCCAGCACCAGACGCTGGCAAGGGTGGGGAGACTTCAGAGCCTGCCATTCCTCTCATGCTTAGGGAGCCACTGTGCCCATTCTTGTCTGATGTGGTACCTCGAGGAAGCCAGCCACCACCTCGTCTCCACCTCGGGCAGGGGGTCCAACTGTATGCCTTGTCCGGTGTCTGGGGTGATCCTGCTGCAGGCCTGCTTCTTCCCTCTGGATCTCTGGACGTGGTCCAGCTGGGATGTGGCAGTCTAACCACCTATGTAGGCTACCCTGTGCGGTTGTGCAGGCTCTGCACCGAGTAAGAGCACTAAGCTGAAGGGCTGACATCCCGCCTTTGCTCACCTCCGAGAGCGCTGTGCCTTGGAGCGCCTCTACCTCTACGCAGAGGAGGTGATGCTTCCCTTTCTCACCCCAGTTCTCACAAAGCTGTGCGCCCGCGGGGTTGCGTCCTCCTTAGTGGGAGACTCGTTTGCATTGTGCAAAAGCGCGGTACTGGCTAGGGACTGGCTTTGCTGATAGCCCCTCCCTGGCCAGCCGCTCCAGCTGTGCCCAGTTACACAGCTGGACGTGCCCTTTTCCTCCCTGATATCGGTCCCCACCCCCGACTCGGGGGTGGGAGGGAGGTCGTCTCCCACCTCACCTCTTCCCCGCCGCTAGCCTCCTTCATCCCGCCGGTGGCTGACTGCCCCGCTTCCCCACAGGCAGCGGCCAGATCCAGCTGTGGCAGTTTCTGCTGGAGCTGCTGGCTGACCGCGCGAACGCCGGCTGCATCGCGTGGGAGGGTGGCCACGGCGAGTTCAAGCTCACGGACCCAGACGAGGTGGCGCGGCGCTGGGGCGAGCGCAAGAGCAAGCCCAACATGAACTACGACAAGCTGAGCCGCGCGCTGCGCTACTACTACGACAAGAACATCATGAGCAAGGTGCACGGCAAGCGCTACGCCTACCGCTTCGACTTCCAGGGCCTGGCGCAGGCCTGCCAGCCGCCCCCCGCGCACGCTCACGCCGCCGCCGCCGCCGCCGCCGCCGCCGCCGCCGCCGCCGCCGCCGCCGCCGCCGCCGCCGCCGCCGCCGCCGCCGCCGCCGCCGCCGCCGCCGCCGCCGCCGCCGCCGCCGCCGCCGCCGCCGCCGCCGCCGCCGCCGCCGCCGCCGCCGCCCAGGAGGGCGCGCTCTACAAGCTGCCGCCCAGCCTGGCCCCACTGCCCTTCCCCGGCCTCTCCAAACTCAACCTCATGGCCGCCTCGGCCGGCGTCGCGCCCGCCGGCTTCTCCTACTGGCCGGGTCCGGGCCCCGCCGCCGCCGCCGCCGCCACCGCCGCGCTCTACCCCAGCCCCGGGTTGCAGCCCCCGTCCGGGCCCTTCGGCGCGGTGGCCGCCGCCTCGCACCTGGGGGGCCATTACCACTAGACGGGGCGGCCGGATGCCCCGTGGCCTCTCCCAGACGCCCAGAGCCTCGCTCAATCCCATCCACATCCCGGAGAGGAGCCGGCGCCTCCGCCGCCGTTCCTTCAACCTCAGATTTTACGCCGCCCGCTGCACCCAGCTCCGGGGGAAGGGGCCTGTAGTCGCCTCAATCTTCCTTTAACACCGGATTTGCCCCCCCCCCCGCCTCAGCCCGCAACCCCCGAGGGAGGGGGACTGTGCCTGCGTTTCCTCTAACCTTCTTCTAGACCTCAGATCCCTGAAAGGGGTTCTCGGGTCTCCCCTGATTTTTCCTCCCCTCCATCTGTACTTCCCTCTGGCTCCTGGAAGCCCCTCCATTATGACCCCTCTCTTATTCCAAATTTTCTCTCTCTCTCTCTCTCTTTTTTGTCCCCCACGGAGCTGCCCCGATTCCAGTATGGCCGAGGCCCACCTTCTCCTCCCCTGGCACCTCAGCGGGCTTGGTAAGGGCCGCGTCTCCCTTGACACTTCTAGGTAGCTTCCGGGCCCCCTTCCTCCCGCCCCCAACTTCCCACAGGACTGCCTTGTGTTTCTATTCCCTTCCAGACCTATTAAAGCTCCCAAGCTCCCCACTGCCTCTTCTCTCTGTTCTTAGATGCACCAAAACCTTGGGGCAGGGGGTGGTGGTGGAAAAGGTAGCGAGACGCCCAGCTCAGACCTGAGGAGAAAGGCCTGCCAAGGAAAAGCTCGAGAGAATGAGGGCAGGCAGGCTTGGGTGCTACTGGAGGGGAGCGCGGGGCCTCTAGTGCATGGGCTCCTGCTGCAGCGCCCCTCCTACCTGGCAGTCGAGCCCAGCCTGCCTCATCCGGCCTTCCACTTGCCCCTTCACCCTACCCCCTCCCAACTTCCCTCCCAACGCGCAGCGGCATGCCACCTTCCCCCATCTCACCCATCCGTACGCAAGTTCCTCACCTCCTCCCAACCTCCACCCCGCCTTGTCTCATCGTCACACCATCTCAATCTTTCCCCAGTCCCTCCATTTCATCCCCTTCCCCACCTCTCCTCTCCACCCCATCCTACCTTCACTCAGACTTTCTCTCTCACTCCCACTCACAAACGCTCCCCCCCCACCCAGTCCCTCTATCTCCAGCACTATCTTTTCTCTGGATCTGCCTCCTCGTTTTCAGGAGGAGGGAATCTCCCCTCCTGCGCCTGCCGCTCCCCTCCGGGCTTGCGGCTGCAACCTCCTTCTCACGGGCGGCGCGCGCCCTCTGCTGGTCTCAGGAGGGTAAGCCAGAGCCAGGTTTTGCAGCTAAACTGAGAACCCGACACTTCAGGCCAAACTTGGCTTTCAGAGAGGAGGGCGAAAGGGGGGAACCCTAGCCCTGCACCCCAGGTCCGACCTCGAGAAGTCTGGGAAGTGGGTCAAGTGGGTCATCCTCCTGGCAGGGCCATTTTCCTCACCACCTGAGGCCCTTTGAATACTGTGCCCACCGGGGACCATGGCTCTTATGCTTTCTCCGCGCCTTTTACAAAATCTGTTGGCAGGAAAACTGCCTTGAACGCGTTCCTTTAGGTGGAAACAACACGGGGGAGGTACCTGAAGTGATAGCCAGAACTTTGAGCTGCACACCAAGACAAGCCCTTTGCTCCCCCTTCTCCATGGTCCTAGTGTTTCTTTTCCAGGAGCCATATCTCTTCCTGGACCAAAGGTTCCTCGCTAGTTGGTGGGAGAGTGCCTGGGTTCCCACAAGGCAGTTGAGGAGATTTCCCTGTGCCCCATGGGCCGGAAGGGGAAATGCAGGGGGAAGGCAGGACAACTAAGTGCAGGGAGGGTCTGAATGCCCCTTCCCAAAGGGAATGAAATCATCGAGGTCCACCTAGGGAAA